TTCTAATTCCTGCATTCGGGTACGTCGGTGAGACTACATATGGAATGAATACTTATGACTCAAATCGAACATTCTGTAACCGAGTGAGGGGCACTATGATAACATCCAAAGCGGGTAATTATGATGATAGTCCCTTATCGCCCTTTTATATTATATATAGACACATAAATGCCAACTAACAAAATAAAAATGAGAAATCAAATCCTACACGAGTGTCAAAATCATTTCGTCTCGATGGCTCTCAATTTCTTATCTTACTTACGGAATGAGAGATAGTGTCTTATTTGGATAATATTATCGTGTTTGTTCATTTAGAATACGTTTCTTCGTGTCTTTTCTCAAGCATGCGTTGCTTTCTGAAAATCAAAAGGAAAAACATCCGAAATCCTTATAATCATGAAAATAGTATATTTATATTTTTTGAGATTCATATGTTTCAAAAGATTTTAAAAATTCGATATTAAGAAAAATCAATTTGCAAATGCTCCGAGGAAAAGAAAAGAGAGGTAAGAATTTGAAAAGAAGTCTATAATATTAATTACTTATTTATATATGACATGTCTCGATAGATTATTACTTTGCAGGTACTCTTTTTTAATCCTAAATATCCGAAAACTTTCACGGTGTACAAATATCGACATGCATATTTACATATATAGTATATATATTTTAAAAAAAATTAGATTTAAAGATGAAAAAAAGGTAATCTTTTTTCCTGCCAAAGGAAGCTTTAGAGCCTTTATTTCTTCCGCAAAGCGACAATTATGTCAAAAAAATGTGCAACAATGATGAAGGGGCCTGCTGAAGACAGCAGTAGGACCCCTAACTAATTAATATCTGATGTCATTTTGTCAGCTTTCTCAATAGTACTTCCATAGATGTGGATGGACCCGAACGTATCGATTGCAGTTTCGATTCCTCTGCTCGTAATCTAACTTTTGCAATTGCAGCGACTGGACCGGAGCTAAATCACGAGATATTTGCTGATTAGCTTCTACTGTAACTCTCGTTGAACGTGGAAAAAAAAAGGTACACTTCTATCTTGTCTCGCTTCGAGTTGACCACTTTGATTTTGGTAGCTAGTTAGTAGTTATAGTTGCACATGAATATTGGCAATGCTCCTTCTGTTTTTTTTCTTTTCACGTGCCCATTGTCATCCTTCGTCCTCGACTTTGCACGCATGGGCGGGGTAATTCATAAATCTGATCATGGGTTTGGTGAATCACAAGCTAGCCAAAAAAAAAAACAGGGCCAGCCAAACTTGAAGTACGTTTTGAGCAAGCCTAAGCAAGTTCCTTCTTAAACTCAACTAGGCCCGACCATTCTACGAACAAAGTGTAACATGTTCTATGACACTTTAGACGAAGACTCTTAGGCTCGGTAAGACGTGGGAAAAATTATCCAATTAGTCATAACTTCGTCATACGATATCAATTCAATTCTAAACTTTTCAATTCTGCCAATTTAATTCTAAACATTTGTCCAGAATTCCAATGTAGTCATTCCGATTACTTTTCGTTGAAAATTGTCGACACGACGATGTGCTACGTAGGATGACCAGTGATGACTAGACCTTTATCTCAGCAATTTTCTAACTTAAATTGATCGAAATGACTATATTGAAATTTCGCGTGAATATTTAGGACTAAATTGACAAATTGAATTAACATCAATGCAGTAAGTTTATGACTAATTGGAAAAAAATTTCCTACGATGTATTCACATTGATCAAATATAGTATCACAATATGATCCATATGTGGATGATACGCTCAATCGAATTTGACCAGCTTAATTGGATCAATAAATTAATGCGAAGTGCAATTTGATCGTCTTTTTTCAGTGTGCTTACTGCGTAGCAAATTTTAATATAAATCTTAGTAAAAGACGAGGGGAAATACATATGATTCCAGCCAGAATTCAAGATCATACTTTTATCCGGATAGGAAGTTATTAACTTCAACCTTTGATGATCCAACTACCTTAAAAAGGCGTTCTCTATTTGCCGCTGTTCATACAACAGATGATGATGCAAATCCCTTCTCCCACCAGAAGGGAGAATCTTCATCAGTAAACCCCCAAAAGAAAAGGAGAGAGAGAGAGAGAGAATCTAAAGACCTGTTAATGGTGCGAACATAAGTAGTAAAGAAGGGCAAAGAAACGTACGAATTCTCACTAAAACAAGAATGGTTTCGGCGGTGCGTTCGTACTTAGCAGGTGCCCCCAAAGCTTAAATACTCCCCCCCCCACAAAAGATGGACTTTGATTGATGGTGGGTACGGAACCACCAAAGAACACTACACGAAACTGGCATCAATCGACGCACTGTTTGGCTAATTATGCAAAAAAAGGGAGGGGGGAAGAAAAAGAAACCTGTCCCTTAGAAAATTCATAGTTAAGTCGAGAGAAATGCTTCCTCGAAGGAGGCATATGATGCATATGCACGCATGCTTGCCCTGCTTTTCCATCGATCAGTCAGTCGATCGTGACGTGGGAGGAAGAATCCATCCAAAAGGGTCATCTAAACTTGCTGAAAATTCTTCGTGGAGTTGAAAGTAGTACTCATCATCATGTCTTGATTTGGATCGAGTTCGATGTGGAGACGAATTTGCCATAAATCGAAACGGGTCGCCGGGGGGTTCGATGGACGTGCTTTTCCGCTGGTTTAGCCATTAGTGGGAATCTTTTAACTTTAAAGCAGGACCCGTTCTGCTTTTGACTGAAAGCCCACCTCTCGTCCAACCTCTTTTAGATCTCTCTGTCTGTCTGTCTCTCTCTCTCTCTCTCTAGTCTAGGGCACAGGGCTCTGTTTTTAGGCTCCCCCGGCAAAGAATATGGTTCGTTTACCAAGAAAACTAGAAAGGGTTTTTTGGTTGGAGAGAGGGGGAAGAAAGAAGCCTTTTGCCTCCCCCCCTGTACATGGTAAGTACATGGCAAAAAGTAACCTTGCACGAGGGTGTAAATTGCTTGGTAAGATTGGCCAAACCCCTCGGGGTCAGGTCGAGTATCGTGACGTTCGAACTCGCGAAAAATCGTATCGGATTTCTTATGAGTGAAGGGTGTGGGTTGAGCAACTCGATCCGCTCGCCTGTTACGCAAAATGTATAGTCTCGCATAGCGAAAGGAAATCGAAGTCTTTTAGGTTCAAATATGAAAACGCTGTGCGATGATAATTGTCATTTGAATATATAGGGTCTCAAGTGGATCAATGAGCATTGATTGGGTAATCAAGAAGTGTATTAGGTAGTCATTTGACATTAGAAACGTCTAAACTTTCATAAAAAGAAAAAAGGGACCATTTGCAATTGGTAAACTCTCATAAAAAAATGGGACCATCATTTACTTTAATGGTCCTATTTTGGTAAACTCTCTTTAAAAAGAAGGGACCATAATTACTTTAATGGTCATGTATCGTTAAAATCTCAATAGCACGCATGGGGTTTTCATAGAATTTTTTTTATTTATGAAAGTTTGAGATTGAAATCGAATATGCTATTGGGTTGCTTTACTATCATTCTCATGGTACTGTTTATTTAATTTATATATCCATATGTTCATACATAAATGATGAATCGTTTTGTTTTTTTTTTTTAAGAATACCGGTATTTTAATGTTTAGATACGTTACAAGTAAGATATTTGATTATTCTGATGGGCGGGGTAAAGCGCGACTCTTTCCCACCTTTACAATAAAGGAGAGATACGTTCACGAAATAAAGATATATTGGCAAGATGCGCCCTACCAAATTTAGTTAAAAACATCTTCAGAGATACCAAATTATGGAGTCAAGACGGTTTTTATGTAACGATGGATCGTGTCAACCATATGAACCGCAGAACGAGCTTACTTAAACACCCCCTCTAACGAAAAATCACGCGGCTAGAGGGGTCCCCCTCTAAATGGAAACATCATCGAGCATCAGCCCACTTCAGCCAAGCCGTCAGATCGTGCCGACGGTATCTAAAAAAGAAAGAAGCTCTGTTCAGATGGCGGGTTTTTCTTTATGGCTGTCCCTCGATGGTAGTTGGAGTTAGTTAATTTTGGAGCTGAAGTATCTTAACTATTCCTTAAAGTCTCCCTTTTTTCTCTTGCAGACTTTACGAAATTTAAGGTAGCTAGAAACGAGAGAGAGAGAGAGAGACAGAGAGAGAGATGGAGAGGGTCAATGTGAAGTGCAATTTAATTAAGGTTTGGCAACTGGTCCACTTGAAAATGACGCGCCCCAGCCAAAAAACGCGAGCCCCACTTCTCTGCCATGTGGGAAACTTTCGTTTCTTCTTTCCTTTGTATTTGTAATGGGAGCCTCCTTTTGGAGTAGAACTAGAAAACGCCAGGGGAAAGCGAGATGTTAAGAGAGGAATTGCCAAGTTTTAGTCCCCTAAAAATCGATCCGGTAAGCCGACAGCAAGGATAGAGACTTGTCTCTCGAAAACTGCGAAACCAGAAGTGCAAAAAGTAAGATAACCTCCCACACATGCTTCATGCGATAGGCGTATCTAGCCCGAGGCCTACGAGTTAGCATTACTGACTGACCGGCCGGGGCCGGGACCGGTCTTGTAGAGATGTCAGAGAGACACGGGATTCACAGTTTTTTTTTCCGGCCAATCTCATCAAAGCTGCTAAGAAATGCCTGAAAAATTCATTAGACAAGGGGGCATGTTATGATCAATCGATGATATCATCCATCTGATGTGCGCAGCAGATGAAAATTTCGTGGGTGAATTTCGAAAACTAGCGATCTGCAGCGACCGGGGCCAAAACGATGGGGGAGTTCTGTTGGCTTTTGTTTGGCCAAGAGCTCGAACGTCGTCCAAGAAAACACCAAAACTCACCCCCCTACAGTGAAGTACGTTACATCAGGTCCCTCTCTCTCTCTTTCACTCTCTCTCTGCTCTGTGCTCTGTGCTCTGTGAAACTCTGAGCTGAGGGACTGGTCACCCTTTTTGCCACTCTCCCTCTCTCTCCTCTCCTTTCTCTCTCTAGCACACCTTCCCCCTCCCCCTCCCCCTCCCCCCCCCAATTATTTTTGTTTTGTTATTTGGGCTTCTTTCTCTTTCTGCACAACTTTCTCTTTTGTACCACCACCACCACCATTAAACCAGATGGCTGGCATGGGCCACTGTCGTCTCCCCACTTTTCATCACTCTTAAAAACCCCCCCTCTCGTCCTCCACCACCACCCCCAACCCATTTCCTCATCTTTCTCTCTCTTTCTCTCTCTCTCTAGAGCGCAGGCGCACGGAGACGACGGCAAACTGATGACGACGACGACGACCCAGGAAGCTCCGATGAATGGGCACTAGAGACCCTCTTGGCTCATGGACATGGGTTCGGGCTCGTGGACGACCGAGTCCGGGTCCTCTTCTCCTCCCCCGCTCGAGTCCCTCAACGGCCTCAAGTTCGGCCAGAAAATCTACTTCCAGAACAGCAGTAATGCCGCCGCTCCTCCCCCTCACAAGCACCCCCCCGGCGGCGGCTCCTCCTCCGCCGCGCCCGCGCCGCCCGGGTCGGGCACTCCCCCGAAGAAGGTGAGGGCCTCCGGCGGCGGCTGCGGGGCGATCCAGGGAGGGCAGCCCCCGAGGTGCCAGGTGGAAGGATGCCGGGTGGATCTGAGCGATGCCAAGGCTTACTATTCCAGGCACAAGGTCTGTGGCGCGCACTCCAAGTCCGCCACCGTCATCGTCGCCGGCATCGAGCAGAGGTTCTGCCAGCAGTGTAGCAGGTCAAAGACGATGCTTTGATACTTTTTTTTTTCTCTCTCTCTCTTACCCTCGTGTCTCCTGTTCTTGGTTCCTATCTATTTCCCCCAATTTGAGGTCTTTGCGCTTATTCGAACCTAAACCTCGTACTGTGTGTTTTTTGTTTGTTCCAGCATCTATCTTGTTGGGTATGCTTCTTCTTGAGGTTTGTTGAAGTTGGCGTGCTGGGAGTTAGATGAGCTGCTTGATTAATGGTTCAGTTTTAGTTGACAGTAATGATTGATTTTTGCGTCTTTTGTTTCTTGTCCTGTTCACAAGTTAGCCGCTTGATTTAAGGTTCGGTTTAGTCGAGAGTCGTAATCGGTTTTCTCTGTCTTCGTTGCTAGTGACAAGCTATCTGCTTGATTAGGGGGGCTTGCCTGTTCTTAGACTTTGGCACTGGGTTTCAACTCTGGGCATCTTTACTCGGGGGGTTGGTCTTGACATTGCAGCTACCTATCTTCGGTTTGAGTGTTTGTTGGCTATGATTGGAGATTGCGATGGACTTGCTTTTAGTGCAAAGGTGCTATTTTGCTCATCATCAAAGGAAGTATGGTGCTTTCCATTTCTCAACTTGATTTTTTCTTTTTCAAATTTGGTAGCTGGAAGGCCTTGGGCGTCGGCGGTTACTTTTTCCTGGATGGAAAACGGTGCTCGCGTGACTTTTTATTCCTATAGGAGGGGCTGAGAATAGAAAAGGAAGAACTCGTCAGTACCTTTTGTTTGTCTGCTTGTTCTTATTACATCTGCTTCGGTAGTTTCTGGTGGTACTGCCCAATTGGTGTGGTCATTTTCAAGCCTCTTTAGACACCTTTTGTGAATCTTTTGGTGATGTTAACCGTCCTCGTCGGTTTATTGGACGGCTCAAAAAAAGCAAGCACGAGCATTAATATTCCACCGGCCCTTGGAATCTTTTGTCCCTAATGAGAAACATTTGCACGGTCTAGAATTAATCTGATAGGCATGAGGGAATCTTGAATCATTTAGACCAACAATTGATTTACGACATGTGTTTTGACCCCCGCTTCTTGACCAGAACCTCCAAACGGCCTTAGTTGGTGTATTTAGGCTATGGTAATTCATTTTATCTATGATGCTCCTCCTCCTTAGACATTGCTGTGTCCATTACTATTGGCCGTTTTCTCTGCTCTTTTGCAACTTCACCCATCGGAAATATTATTTTTATCAAATGTTAACATCAGAATTAGAGCAGAAAATGCTGAATTTACTTCGCTCCTCCTCTGACGGGATTGTAGGAGTCATTGTTTCCTTGCTAACCTTAGTTCTGTTGTTTTCCTAAACATCTTTGGATTCTCTTCTTCCATATTAATGAAGTGTGCAACAAGGATACACTTAGGCATTTTCGGGTATTTTCTTGAGGGGAATTTGATTCCCTGTCTTGATGTGTTGTGGAGCTCCTTCTAGTTCCTTAATTTTTTGGACTTCTTTTGTCATAAGTGTGGATTAAAAGCTGGTCTTAGTAAGCAGCTCTTTTTTCTTTCATCATAAGTGTGGATTGGAAAACTCATCTCAATAAGCAGCTCCTTCACTATATCGAGTATTGCTCCTGTCATTGACAGAATCAGTGAAGAAAATTGAAATGCATTTGATCGTATATACCTTAAGAATTCTCCATCGACATATGAGGTATTATCCATTTAGTTATCAGATTACAGCAGAATGCTTTTTGGCTTTCCATGTTTTAGTTGGCTGTGCTAACTAGAATGGCAGCCAATATCCAGGAACGGTGATATGCATTGTTAAATTCTCCATGAGATGCTACATGAATTGCAAACAATGCATTTCCATGTGAAGATAAAATATCCAACATTATCTGATAAGTATGCTTTTGTTGAAATAGCAACAAACAATTGACTGATTGAACTCATTGTTTCTGTGGATGGTACCGTTGTATTGTCTCCATTAATTTGTCAGTTCGCTTTTGCATGAAATGAATTTTGTGCTTTCTTCTTTCATGCAGCAATCTGTTGTAATGAAATGCCCGCACTAGTTATAATATCCTTTGTCTTTTTTAGGTTAAGTAGGAAAAATTACAGCAAAGAGAAGGGGAGGTAGTATTGTGCAATATATGTTAAGATGAGGCTTTGATGCAAGATTGTGAGTGAAAGCTTCTGCATGTTGATTCATTAAGCAAAGGCGAATAAACTCTCGCATCGTTGATAAACTCAAGTGTTGCTTGGTAATGAATGAACAAGCCATAAGTTTGTTGGAAGAAGCGCTAAATTGGAAAAGTCCTTGGGAGGTCGTGGATGCTGTTAGACCAGAGACTTTGGCTTGTACTATCGGTTTAATGCTACCAACGAGGGGTTCAGATCAGCCGCATTCTATACTTGGTGCATTATGATCTGTCTTTTTGAGATTCATGTGCTAATATTGCGTTTTTCGGCAGAAATTGCATTTACATTTTTTCGTCGTGATTTACTTGCTTTGTAAAAGTGAAAGCAACTTGAGTAGAGGTGAGATAGAAAAGTCATATAGGAATGTCAAACTGGAAAAATATAGGTACCCTTAACAATAATAAACAGGTGAATCCTCATTGTTGCTCTATTTGATATTTGGTGCCAAAAGCATCTCTCCGATGGGTTGAAGTTCTGGTTCCTCTGCTGGTTATGCTATGAGCTGTTTTGCAGTGAGTGATGTATGGTGAGAATCAATTAGAGAAGCTAATGCTTCAGAGTTCATTCTTTCAGTTTTTTTCAATTAAGTGCATGTTGTGTGCTTACAAAGCATTTGGCTTTGTCAGTCTACTTTGGTGTTACAGTTAAAATTCAGTTTTATGTTAGGCCTGCGGTATCTAGGTTACAGTCTTGATCACGTGTATCATATATGTAAACTTTGATTAAACTTTAGATTGGCTATGGTAGGTTCTTGGACCAAATAGCAAGTTTTGTTTTGAGCTAGCTCTGCTATGTTGTGCCTATTTTGAAGTGAGCTGTTTCTACTGCTTGGTTGCACTTGTTTTGAACTTTCTAGTCAACAATATGTGCCTGCTTGAATTCTTGACTCTTTCTCTGTTGAGAAGATTCTCTCTCGGGGCAGCGTAAATGAGTGCTTAAGTTAAGGAATCCGGCTTTTCCTTTGCTATAAGCAAGCCTTGACTTCATTCAACTGCTAGTGTTGTATTTGTAGATTCTGCTGTAACCTATTGAGAGGTGGGATAGAACTCACCGTGCTTCTCTTGCTTTCGTTCTACTTGATGTTTAGCTTATTGAAGATGATTACATACTGCTTTTCATGTTTTATGTATTGACATGTCCTCTACTAGTCTCTTCACAGATTCCATCAGCTTACTGAATTTGACCAAGGAAAACGAAGCTGTCGTAGACGTTTGGCTGGTCACAATGAGCGCCGGAGGAAGCCCCCACCTGGATCGCTACTATCCTCTCGCTATGGGCGACTGCCATCCTCTATATTTGGTTAGCACCATCCCCTTCCCGACCCTCTCTTTTCTTTCTTTGGTGCACATTTCTCACAAATAGGAAGACATATATTTATATCCCTGTGTTGGTGATATGAGTACAAATTTCTGATGCTTGCATGGACAGAGAACACCACCAGAGTGAGTGGTTTTCTGATGGATTTCACAGCATACCCGAAGCATGCATGGTCAGTTCCACGTTTGTCTGAGCGCACGACGCCTGGAGATCTAATCCCTGGACCAGGAAAGCTCTATCCTCATCCGTGGCAGAGCAGTCCTGAGAACCCTCCCCCTGACCTTTTCCTGCAGTGCTCATCCGGTGGCACGACAGCTTTCCCTGCTCCTGGGATTCCTCCTGGCGAATGCTTCACTGGAGTAGCTGACTCAAGCTGTGCTCTCTCTCTTCTGTCAAATCAACCATGGGGCCCCACAAACCAGACGTCACCTCTCGGGTCGAACCACATGGTGCACCCCCAGGGCTCGACCCTGGCTCAGTCAATGCCTCCTCATAGTTCGGCCATTCACTTCACCAGTCCTGGCTCCGCATGGGCCTTCAAGGGCGACGAAGCCGGTGGGAGCTCCATTGGTCTAGCTGCTGATCTGGGCTTGGGCCAGTTCTCACAGCCACTTAACAATCAGTTCTCTGGTGACATGGAGTTGTCTCAACAGAGCAGGAGGCAATTCATGGAGCTTGATCCCTCGAGGGCTTATGATTCCTCGCACCAGACTCACTGGTCGCTCTAGGTGACCCAATCATGTTTAAGTTGGGTTCTCTTGCATTGCGGAGTTCTCTGCATAAGACTGCATGTTCTTTTCGTTTTTGATGAACACCTGACATGATTTTTGTCTCTATTAAGGCCATTGGCCTTAACTTGAACTTAGACTTCGCTTTTGTCTTTGAACACATGCTATCGGATGACAACTGGACTCTTGGTTGTGTATTATTATGCAATCACGAACTACCGTGGTTACTTTGTAGTTCCGCTCTCCATGTGGGGGAAATTGCTTGTCATAGCAGCATTCGTACACACAGTGTCGTGCGAATTCGTGCCAGAGGAACTTATAGCAAATCACAGCACGAGTGGATTCACACATGAGCATGTGTGGTGATGTGCCGACATTACATGTCGTGCTCGCTCTGATTTTGCTGTCGACCATCAGATCATTTTATCATTCCAGGTCCAGAAAATCTAAGAAGGAAGGAGTTGGGATTGATCAGTTGAGATTGATCCGTTTCAACTTCGGTCCTTCAAGAGGCGTGGCGTTCAGTTTGAAAACGTCTAGCGAGATTTCACGTATATACTGAAGTTGAGGAGATACCTGGTTTGCTCTTCCGGACACCTACATGTGCCAAGTTGGTCAATTGATCAGCCCGAATAGAACATGATGGCATTGGTTTTCTTGAATACTTTTTCAAGGGGCATCGTTTTTCTTGTCATTTTACAGCGTCTTCGCATGAAATAGCGTTTGTTTCTCCATATTTGGATGCTCACACGGTAGAAATGTGGAGAAAGATGGTTAGTCACCGACCGTGACGACGGTATCGTGGTTAGTCATTGACCGGCAAGAGACCTTATCGATGATGATGACGACGTTCACAACTGACGAGATGATGATGACGACGTTCACAACTGACGAGCGGTCATTTACGTTAGGACGGACACGGACGGCAATGGAGGAGATGATGTAGCCCGCGTATTGGGCGAGCGGGCAGAGTTACAACTTTTGACTTTGATGATAAGTGGAGTTGGATGTGGCCCGACTCGAACTCAGCTTTTAAGAAGGTTGATTAAGTGGTAAAAGGGTCACCTGTTTTTCGAGGTTGCTAGTATCTTGGTGGGGGCCGCGGTGATGGACTCACGAACCTCGTACCTATGGATCGAATCTGACCTCTGGATACAATTTTCTATCCCCCAGATCTTTCTTGAAAATATGAATGAAAAATTGCGGATGTATGGGTGAGATCCGTGCGAGCGATCCCACCGGAAACAAACCCCAGGCCTTGGCGCGCAACTGCCAAAACCGAACTCCATAAACCGTTTTACGCAGCGAGTCGTCGACGTAGGCGGAGAAACAACTGAGAAGTGACCTCAAACTTCCATATAATTTCTTCAAGACCGAACTCTGCCATCTTCATCTTCCTCCATCCTTCACAATCCACAGAGCTTTTCGCTTCTTCGATCACGGTACGCACGAGACCTTTCTCTTTTCGTTATGTTCCTCCATTTCTCTTCGCTGCTTCTCGCGGATTGCGGGTGGTACGAGTTCTTCCGCATTAAGTTTGAGCCGCTTCATTGCAGCATCTCTCGCTCCTCCCATCTTCAAGCGTCATCTCTTGAAGAAGGATTAGATAGGTGAAACTTACTGCAAATCTTTGCCGCTTTCTGTAGCAGAGTGACTTTCGTCTTTGTTGTTCATCGAGTTGGTGTGTGCGTGTGCATTTGAAGGTCCCGACGCTCGCAAAATTCACCGGAATTCCCAAGAAACGGACAAAGACGACGGTCCTGCTGCATATTGGCTCAAGAGGACTCAATTTCCGGGAGGGATGGCGATACGCCGCCTGATTTTGCTTCTCGTTTTGGCTGTGTTCTCGGCATCACTGGATTTGCCGGCTTCTGCATTCACAGATCCTCTTGATGGTACTTATTATTCGACGATCCATCTTGAGCTATTTATAGCATCGCAAGGTTATCTTGCTTTAGCATTGATTGGCGTTATCTCTCTGTCTGGTTGCAAAGGTTAGAGCTAAGAGGTGTCAAATTTTTGTTTCGTTAGTCTTACAAGAAGAACAAACCAGTAATGTTTACGCCCTGAGGGACGTGGACTTTTGAAGGCGAGGTGCATATTTTGAAGTCACAGGTCTTTTCTGGATATGCCCTTTTGACTAACAAGAATTTTGGGTTATCTTTTACTTGGTTTCGTTGGACCTTAGAATTACATTTTGAGACTCTTCAAGTCCACTGCAAAATGATCATGTGGCCCATATTGAATCGAATCAAATTATTGGCTGGATCTTTCTGCCTTGATAGCAATTACCACCTTTTGTCATACGACCTAAGCTTCCCAAGGGTAGTTGCTGTTCAGCAAATTGTGAGCCTGCTGGGGACATCTGATGCTATTTAAGACTAAAGATGACCGGGTTTCTTATGTTTGGAGATATGAGTAATGGGAATTACAGATTGTCTGATTGTTTGCCTGACAGTCTGAATTGGTTTTTTCTTTGACTTGGTTATGCTTTCAGCTTTTTGCATGGAATTTCAGTTAATTTCGTCATTGGGTTGCTTTTTCCTTCTCTGTTGTCTATGCAGCTACAACGCTTCATGGGCTATATGCAGCCTTGAACTACCCTTCACAGCTGAAAGGCTGGAGATCGGATGGTGGGGATCCATGTGAGGAATCATGGACAGGAGTGGCATGCTCTGGCTCGTCTGTGATTTACCTGTAACGCAGTTCAACTCCATAGACGATACAATTTCTTTCTGGCTCGTATGGATCATAAAGACATTGTGTTGTCCTTAGACCGTGCTTTTGATTTCACATTGGTCACTTCTTTGTGCAGTAAACTCAATGGACTAAACTTGAGTGGTTCTCTAGGAGACCAGCTTTATAATTTCCACAATTTGAAGCAACTGTAAGCAGCCTTTGCAAGATAAAAGTTAGGTTTTACTACAGAAGTCGTAATAAAAGATGTTTGTCTGCTATTTTGCCAGGGATATGAGCTCCAACAACATTCAGGGTGATATCCCCTATGGTTTACCTCCTAATGTTACTCATCTGTACGATTTCAGTTTTTTTCTCCGGTCAAATTTGGTATTACTAATTGGTCATTGGCCTCAGTAGAAATGGAACAGCTGCTTTATTAATTCCCGCACTGATGTTGGTCCTTGCAAGTGCAGCAACTTAGCATGCAACAAGTTGATCCAAAGCATTCCACATTCATTACCTTCCTTGAAAAATCTACGGCACCTGTACGATCTTATTTCAACTGCCTGCTTAGAACAAGCTTTCTTTCATGCTTGAATCATCCTTATATCCAAGTACTTCCTTGCAGGAATCTGAGCCACAATTTGTTCTCTGGATCTATTGGCAATGTTTTCATTGGAATGCTGAATTTAAAAGAAATGTAGGTCGATCAACAATTCAGATTCGGATTGTCCTACTAATCCTGAATTCCTGATTTTCTTGTCTCTGTGTTGTTGTCCTTTTTAACCAAATTTTCTCTGTGTTGTTTGGAACACATGGAATTAGATAATCCCGACAGTATTTAGCACAACGGATTGTCTTATTCACAAATACCATATTCGGGCCATTCATCTTTCTGCTAATTTGTTAATAAATCTTTGATTGCTCCCTGTGTTTCTGGTTGCATGATCCCCTGCCATGAGCTACAAAGATTCAATGCTCACTAATGATTCAAGTTTCTTATCGACCCTTTTTCGTTTAATGGAAGTAATTTGTACAATCACAGGGATCTCTCAGACAATAACTTCACTGGGGATCTGCCAAGTTCGTTCCAGTCTCTGACAAATCTTACTGGACTGTGAGAGTTATCATTCCATATAATGTTTTCAGCTGATGCATGCCTCACCATTTATCAGTTCGCATTCATATGATATTATGGTTTAATTTACAGGTTCCTGCAGAATAATGGATTTACTGGAGCAGTGATCTTACTGGCTAACCTTCCTCTAATCAACCTGTAGGTTCATTATAGCCTCCTCTTGATGTCTTTTCTGCCTCGCGCTGCCATTTTTTTGATTTCTTGTTCACACTTCTGTTGTCAGAGATATACAAGACAATCACTTCAGTGGTGTCATTCCTAAGAGTTTCCAGAACATACCAAATCTATGGTGAGTCATCAAACTTTCAGTTCAGTCATCATTCTCTTTATGCGCTGGTGGCATATGAGAGACAAAATTAATTGATTTTTTCCATATACATTTGTAAGGATCGGCGGAAATAACTTCCATGGAGCTGAATCTCCACCATGGAACTTTCCTTTTCAAAATATGTCTCTCCAAAGTAACGTTAGTAGTCCTCCAACATCACAGTCAAGTGCTGTTGAGAACTATCCCTCTCTTAACCCACGTTCGCACAAGAAGGGAAAATGGGGCCCTGGTGGAATTGCATGCATCGCCGGTGGAGGCACTTTAGTAGCAAGCTGTGCAGCTCTTGTAATTGCAATCCAAATTCATCGAGCTCGTGCTCAGAAAGATAAACTCTTGGACAGACCCAATAGCTCGTTCCATTCTATATCCCTCAGAACTGTCGGAGGTGAACTCCTGTTAAAGTTTCAAGGATATGCTAGCGAAGTTCAGATATTTTTTAACGTTTTGAAATCTCTGCTATGTATGGATGAATTCCTGAAAATTCCCATTAATTATCTATTCCCTCCTGAAAATGAACTTCTCCATGACAGAAGAGAGCCCACCAATCTTGCCTTGTATCCCACCACCAACTGTTAGCGCAAGGCCTGTACCTCTTGCTCTCCTTGCGGGTAAAGGAAATAGAAAAAGCTTTTCCAGGAAATGCGAAGCCCTTGAATGTGTGAAGATTTACAATGCTGCAGAACTTCAATTCGCCACAAAATGCTTCAGTGAAGAGAACTTTATCTGCGAAGGATCCATTGGCCCTGTTTACGAGGCTAAGCTACCTGATGGCCAGGTCAAACCACACATAAATTCACATGATTGTAGTGGTGAAATAGCACCAATGAAAGTTTGAATATAATTTCCTTTCCTTTGTTAGATATTGGCCGTGGAGAACATCAACATGGCATCACTGTCTCTCCAGGAAGAAGAACAATTCTTGGATGTGATCTGCTCTGTCTGCAGATTGAGGCACCCAAACATCATTCCACTCATAGGTTATTGTACAGGACTTGGACGGCATTTGCTGGTCTATGAGTACGTGAGATATGTGACCCTCGAAGATGCTCTGCATGGCGGAAAGTACAAGCCTCTATCATGGAGTTCACGTGTTCGGATTGCCCTTGGAGTCGCTCAGGCATTAGAGTGAGTGTTTCTTATGGCCTTAAAAAGATTTTTAACCTACAAGCTCAAAGTTTTGACAGCTGCACAGAAAACATGAGTTTTAGACAACTGGTCCATGCTCGTCAGGATTGTTCAGTAGTGGCTTTTGGTGATCATGCAGCTGACTAATCAATCATGTGCAGAGTGCTTCAGGATCCTGTGATGTCTAGGACATTAACATCCTCTTGGCCTCGAACATCTCATCCTAAACAGTGATCTTTCTCTTGTGGTCTGTGATTTTTCAGCTACATGCACTCCACATTTTCACCTCCCGTTTCTCATGGCAATCTAAAGGCTCGCAATATTTTGCTTGACGAGGAACTCAGGCCACGTATATGTGATTGCGGAGTTTCTGTTCTGAGGCCACTTACAAGCAGTACCGTCAAGCTTAAGGTACACGCATAATTGATATTACATTGCATCCAATGAATATTTTTGTAGCATTGGACGGGATTCAGTGACTTGGGCAGATATTACTTGTGCTTGACATAATTTGAGAAGTTAGGGATTTGATGAAAATCCTCTTCATTTACTGCAAATGCTTTGACCAGAATTGCAATCAAATGACTGGAATAGAAATTAAATTCACTCTATTAACTGGAAGATAATGCAACTAGGCTTCTGAAATTGCTATTGGAGACACCGGTTATATCGCACCTGAACACGGTCAACCAGGCATTGACAACACTAAGTGTGATATCTATGCCTTCGGGGTGCTGCTTCTGGAGCTGTTAACTGGGAGGAGACCTTTCGACAGGTGAAGGGGGTGAATATTTTTTTGGGGGATGGGGGGCCCAAACGGATCTTTACTCCTAGTTCTCAGTTGTCTCGTCTCTTTTCACACAGTTCAAGACCTAGGGAAGAAAAATATCTGGTGAAATGGGCTTCATCCCGGCTTCATGACCGTGATTGCTTGGAGCAGATGGTCGATAAAAGCTTTGAAGGAACACTCAGCTTTCGGGCTCTCTCCCGGTTGGCTGATATCATATCCGTCTGCATACGGGTAGGTGTCATGCTTCTTACTCAAGCAATTGGAAATATACATAGAACAATGCAAAGTCTGTTCCTGTAAAGATTAATTTGCACTAAATATATAGTTCAAGAACCAGTTTCTCTGTATTTATAAATGAAGGAAAGAACCGAGGATATGGTGCTCCGTCATCAATTCTTACATAGTTCAAGTAGTGAATAACTTTTTTTTTGCTTTTGTGTATCTTTCTGTACAGCCTGAGAAGGAATTCCGGCCGGCAATGTACGAAGTAGTTGAATCTCTGTTGTATATGCTGGAAAGGATCGGCATCACAGAAGGCAATGCCACATACGGCGGTGACCTTGAACCTTATGAAAGATCCTTCCGCTCCACCCGCACGCGCTTTGTGGCCTCACCTGCAACAAGTAGCTGGTCATCTGATCGTACTTCTCAATGAGTCTACAAAAACCATTCTTTTGTTTTCATTTGGGTCCATCATGTCAAGAACACTTCCAATAAATCTTGCTTTCTGAAACAGAAAAAAAAATGGGCGAGTTCTACATAGGTTTTCGCAGTTAATGTTTCTCGCACGGAATTGCACGATGGATTGTGGGATTGCTTCTGCAGGATTGTATTAGCACCCACTCTCGATAATTCTTGAATATGAGTGAACCTCCCTTTCATCTTCTCTTCATGTAGTCACCCCTGAAGTGGTTTATCAAGGTACCAAGTAAGAGCAGGATCATCATGAGCTAGAGATGTACCTTTTGCTTCGACTACTACCAGCACAAAGACTTCAGAAAGCAAGTACTTGATCCCAACTTGTGGCAAGTGCATGAGCTCAAGGAAACAGCAAAACGCCGTTCTTTTCTTGGGTCAATGAACTCGTACAAGTGTGCAAACAGAAGGATAGAGAGAGTGGTGAAGGAAGTGGAGTGAGAGAGAGAGAGAAGTGGTTTCTCTTATTCAATGACCGCAAATAGTCTGCAATTAGATCTCTTCAACTGATGTTTTCATCAGGGTTAATAGAGGAATTGCCATAGACAAATTTCATCATCAATAACTGCTCACAGTTGTTTCCAGGAAGAAGAGTACAGATTCCTGTCCTCTGCTTTATTTCAAGAAATATGACTGTTTATAGACAAGGTGTACGACGCAAGTTTGATTCCATTGTAAATAATCTTGGGATAAGTGCACTAGAAGTCCTAAAACTTGTCACAAAAGTGCAATTGAGTCCTAAAACTTATCACAAAAGTGCAATTGAGTCCTAAAACTTGTCATAAAAATGCACTTGAGTCCTAAAACTTGTCCAAAAAGTGCAAATAAGTCCTAAAACTTGTCACGAAAGTGCAAACAAGTCCTAAAACTTGTCACAAAAGTGGAAACAAGTCCTAAAACTTTCAAAAAGTACAATCAATGGAAGGACTTAATTGAACCAATTGGACAAGTTTTAGGATTTGTTTGTACTTTTTTAAAATTTTAGGACTCAAGTACACTTTCGTGACAAGTTTGAGGAATTGTTTGCACTTTTTGAAAGTTTTAGGACTCAATTACACTTTCGTGACAAATTTTAGGACTTTGAATGCACTTATCTTAATAATCTTATATGTAGGCCGCCTATTAGATTTTGACTCGTGTTTATTTGAGCATTATGAGGTTAGTGTTGTTCAGAAACTCTGTCCTTCATCTAAAAGATAGAGCACGGGCCAATGACCATGATCAAGTTTCTTCGTTAGACGAAGTTTTAGGGCCGGTTTGCCCAAAGCAAATTGCCTGCAGGTTTGCTTCCATTTTCAAAACGGATGAGGTGCCTGGTGTAAAGTTAGCGTATTGTCTTATTTTTTTTTCTTCAAAATATATTTGATTGAGCCATAAAAATAATAATCCTTTGTTCAGAGTTAGTAAAATTAGCATAATGATTATATATATTATTTAAACCATCCGCCACCATCCTTTCCGAGATAAAGCATAAGAAACCCTTTCTTTGCTCAATTTTCTCGGAAGTATTGAATGCCCTGGAAATAAGAAAAAATATTTTCAGACAATTAAATTTTCTAAAAAAAAACAAACTATTAGTTTCTTTATCATGACTCACAAAAGATTATTTTTACCACGACGGGTTCACTTTCTGCTTCATAAGTATTTTTTTTTTATCCGCAATATTCATTCAAAAGCAAAAAAAAATAAAAAATTGATTAATGGATATGTTATAGAAATAAAAAAAAGGGAGGGTATAATTGTCATTAGGCACGATACTCAAGCTCCTGAGGGAGTGAATTGAGAAAGTCCTCGGGAGATTTCAGAAGCAGCTGCTGCTCTTCTTCTTCTTCTTCTTCGCAGTGCGCAGCGCTTGCTCTGCTCTCTCCGAAGCTCTGATCGAACAAGGTACGCTCGGCCCGCCCGCAGCCTATTCGATCCGTTCCCAATTCGCGCTCGTGCCTTAGCTTCAAATCGAACCGTTGGAATTTGTTATTGCCACGACATTTTCTAGGTTAGATTGGCGTGAATTTGAGGTTTGACTCGATCGTTCCGCGGCTGATTCACTTGCTGCTTTGTCCCTTTTTTTTATGGGCCCCTGGTTCTTAGTCAAAGCAAAACCGGACCTTTTGAAGCCCGACATCCTGATCGGCATTCGCAGTGTCGGATTCTTCAAAAAATTGGGCTGCTTGGCTGGGGGCATTCGTCATTTTGAGCTGTGCAATTACTGGTCTGTGATTTTAAGGAGAAGATTTGACCTCTCATTCCTCGGATTTTATGACCAAGCTGTAATGTGATCAGTCTTTTTTATTGGGTCAAAGGTCATGGAAAGACCACTTCTCGTTTTTGGTGTTCAGGCCAGATTGAGAGAGGCTCTGTTTCTGCGCAGGAATTTTTTTTTGTTTGTCTTCCGTGAGGGTCATTTTTTTTGGGGGCCTTGTTTCCTCTGCGATTCGTTTTTTTCTGTTTGTTCTTATCAAATGCTGAATGCGTGTGCAGTTGAAAGAAAGTCATGGACCCTGCTGAACGTAGGTACTTGGAGGATGAGAACACTCCTACGATGAAAGTAATCAAGGGCGCGACCACGGGTTTGGCTGCCGGAACGATTTGGGGGACCATCGTCGCTACTTGGCACGACGTGCCTCGTGTCGAGAGAAATGTCGCCCTTCCCGGGCTATTGAGGACGTTAAGGATGATGGGTAATTATGGAATGACATTTGCTGCTATTGGTGGAGTTTACATCGGGGTAGAGCAGGTGTTGGAGCATCAGAGGATGAAAAGGGACTTTATCAATGGAGCTGTCGGCGGTTTCGTTGCTGGGGCTACTATCCTTGGTTATAAAGGTAAGTGCGCTCGTCATATTGGCATATTATCTGTTTCGGTCACGTCTGCTTCCAATACATGTAGTGGAGTATTGAAGCCACATTGGGATTGTATTCACATACATGATCAGGGACCAATTATCACGTGTAAATTATGCTTTTCACTCTCTGTTGATGGTTTGATTGAGCCATTCCTTCTAAAATAATCATCAGTGAAATTGTTGAGCTGATCTTAGTACTCTAAATATTGTTACCTGCACAAACTCTCTCATGCCACGGCTCTGACTGACAAGTCTTTCGTGCTGCTTTCCAAGCAATGCTTTCTCAGTTTTTTACCGGCTATGCTGAAGTTTACATACTGTGTGACTTTTTATGTTTGTTGACTTATCCTAGTCCCTTTGTATAGTTGGTCAAATGTATTGAAATGCTGACATAGTTCTCCCTTTAAACCACTTAGTTCCTCCTCTTTGTGTGTGTAGTGTACAATAGAAGCATGTGAATGTATGCATTGGTGGCAAGATTTAATATTCTTGCAGTGGGCTTGATTTAATACTTTTAAGCTGGTGACTTTCATGAGCAATGCTTTTGGCAACAAAGTGAGGCTCGTTATGGGGCCTGCGCGATTCTCGTGAACTTTGGTTCCCAATAGCTCTCTGGCAGATGGTTGCTGAATATTTCTAGAGCAGAAATGTTTGGCCTGAGTAATTTCTTGTGTTATAGAGCTTGAAAGAATAGTATCAACCGGACCGTTTTGACTTTTACACTAAGCTTAGATGTTTTGTTCCAGTTCCAGTTAGTATCTCACTTGATGGGGAGGAATACTGTGAAGGATGAGAATGTTAGTGGGTATCTACCGATTAAAAAAGTCTTTGCTCTTTGCGCCTTGAATTTGTGACACTTCCTTCACCCTTTGTCTATTTATGCTTAGTCATCAGCTTATGAGATGAGAACTCACCCAGGAACAAGTTCCTTATTAGGTTTGACTCCAACATTCCGGTTAAGCTCCTTCGTATCCTAGTTGCATAACACAAGCATTAGTTTATATTGTGTACTTCTTGTTGACAAAAACAACTTCTTAAGTGGAAGTGGCCTTGTTCTGTTCACTTGCATGCTCAAGTTTTTTTCTTTAAAAGCTTTTGGTTTTAGGGCCTATTTCATCTTCTGCATAGAGGTAGAACTGGTACTTGAAACTTAGAGAGAGAGCCACGGGGGGGGGTGGTTGTGGTGTGGTGTGGTGGTGTGGTTTGGCTGGAAGGTGAGTTGAGAAAGAACACTCATCATCATTTTAGCCAAAAACGACCATTTCTCTTTTTCATTGTTCGATACTGCTCTTTACTTCTCAGTCTGAAGTGATTCTGCTTATGCAAGGTCATTAGTGGATTAAGGAAGTAGATGACTCTATTTTATGGCCAGACTGTTACGATTCTATGGACACCCTCATATGGAGTCAATGTGTTACTTTTGTACCCCAAAACTTGAACCCTCTCTGTATATGATGTCAGAGCATCCTATTCTGGCCATCAGATACCATTTGTTAAATGACATGAGTAATGCATGCACTTTACGGTACTTACTGAGAGAGAAAGAAACAAAGCTATATTCCACCGATTGTAATCTCATGGCAGTTGCTTTTGTTCCTTAAAACTCAGAGTTGTTTTTCTGAATCTTTTGCACAAGGTAGCATTCACAGCGGTTGATGGAGGATTGATTACTTTCCTGCATTTATGGTGCTGCTGCTATGCAACTTTCTTGTTGGCAGGTTTACAGTCAGCAGCACCATATAGTATCTTCATTTGTTGATTGCGAAAATGAAATATAGATTATTACTGTCCTTGCAGTGACCATCTTATACTTGTGAGTTATGACTCCATCCTGTTTATTGGATTAACTTGGAGGTCTCAAACTTACACCTGCATTCGCAGGAAAGACCATTTCCTCGGCCATTTCTGCTGGAGCCGCTTTGGCAGTCACATCTGCCGTTCTAGACATTGGTGGCCAGACCACAAGAAAAGATACTGGCAAGGAGTACTACCCGTACACTACCAAGAAGAAATCGACTGTTGATTCATGACTTTGTTGATTGATTCTGCCGTTGGAGAGGAGACTATAGCTGGTCGGTGAAATTTACTTGATCACATCTTTGCTTTGAGAGATGTAAAGTCATACTCTTAAGCCATCTTTTTGTGTCGCCAAGCCTGTATGAATGCTTTCAATAAATATGCTCTTTTCTCCCGAGAGTTGTTTGACCTTGTTAAGTTTGAGACATTTGGCGCAGCTTCTATGCCCCCTTTGGATCTAATAGTGTCATATTTCAGCATTTTATTGAAAATTTCATTCTAGAAACTTTCTTGGTATCTTTGCCTTAAAAGGCTTAAACCTCCTGACATTGCAATCATTAGTCCATCGGGCTTTGGTACCGCCTAGCTTGGTGGAGCGGGAATCGTGTTACCAAATGCAATTCGTCGCGGAGCTTCACTTCTGATTATGTATTTGAGTGTCAGCAGATGGACTACTGTTATGAGTCTTGGCTTGTCATGTTAAGAGGTTCTTCAATTGATTGACCAAGAAATGGAGCTGCAGTGCAGTTTCACGGTGTTAGGAAACAAAGGAGAGTGAAATTACTACCGAAAGCCGACACCTGGATTCCTGATCAATTGCAATTCACAAGGAAGTTCAAAAGCTCGATACCCTTATATCAACTGCAATCATGAGTCATGGGAGCATGCCATGACCCATCAATCATCATTCTCTTGAAAATAAAGGACTAACATTTCAATCATCATGCTCCCATCGCATGAGCATCAGATGGACGTGTAAGCAGAGCAGACAGAGCTAACTTGCGGTTCATTTTGTAGCTATTGATGCGAAGCAAGGTTGATTCCGGGAAATGAACTAGTAGAAGAGGAGTGGAAAAGAAAAGCCAAGAAAGAAGTATCCCAGCATGACACACATCAACACATAATTTCAAATTCACATCCTCCTATCGAACCTATTCCGAATCGGAACAGACAGTTGAAACCGAAGAAAGAAGGCGTCTGAGAGGCGGATGCCTTGTCTCCGGCATCGGCTACAAGCGAGAGAAATTCATCTTGGTGGGGAAGTGAGGAACAAGTATGGTCGCTCGACTTTCCTTCTTCCAGAAACCGGCTCTCAGGGGCTCCGTCTGGGAGTCGCCTACATCGCCGGAGACACGAACTGGATTGTAGAAGCAGCAACAGAATGATGACCACAATCCCATATTCTCTCTCGCGCGCTCTATCTCTCTGTAACAAGAAGGGTGCGAGTAGATTGAGGGCATCCAAAGTGGTTCGAACGTAAGACTAGGCCTGACGGGACATAAAAGTCGCTCAAGACGCAAGACTTTCGTTTGGTCTTCGTCTTTCTTTTATCGAGGATGAATGGACTTGCTGCAATGGTGATGCAAGAGCAATTGTATTTCTTAGTCAAAGCACGCATCATGGACTAATCGAGCAACACATCATCATCACCGCCACTGGTGCTTTAGCTCTCCCGAACATCTCTCCTACATCTTTTGATTATGGTGGGCTTAATCCCAGAATCAGAATGCCATCGGTGGGCTTAGTCAAATTGGCTGATGCTGGTATCGAATAGACATATAACTGTTGGTCAACCGAAACATAGTAAGGCGAACAACCTAAATTCACTTTGTGGACATCTTCAATTATCGAAGCATGAACACACAATCATGTGGTATTGAATTGACGGGAGAATCACAGGCACGTATATAGGTTAGACTAGGGAACCGATCACCTTTTACTTAGATACAGAATAATACTTTGTACCGTCGATTACTATTCTAGAAACACTAGCGCTGTGGCTAGTTGGACCACATGAAGTTACATTATGGAGATGTATCTAACAAGAGGAGCTGTAGTATTATGGTCATCAGGACTTTCACACCAAACCTGCTAGCTATTTTGAACTAGAACTACTTGTATAGATCATGCCAAGTTCAATAATTTCCTAAACAGTGGATATTGTATCATTTTTTTTCCTCTCGATAAAGATTTGAAAAAAGAAACTCGTAAAAGCAAGGTCCTGATTCTCAAAAAATGCTGTTAATGTCCTTTTCGTAATCAGGAAAGAAAAGGAAATTTGTCATCTGGTAGTCTCGATCCAACGAGATATATAAGTGTCGACAGATGGGCGACGGTTTGGACAAAACGCATATCCCACTAAAATATTTTGTGGTGCTAAGAGTTATGGAGAAGTTGCCTGGTCTTGAGTTGGTAACGACACGGAATGGAAAGGGGAGATGAATTTTCAGGATTGATTTTGCTCATGGAAACTGATATGGGCCGAGTCCAGAACTGTGTAATAGTATAATTCAAGGACATTTCGATTTATATCTCCCAGGCCCAGGCCCAGGCCCATCATACATCCATCGCCGAACAAGGCTCGGGAACGTCGGACTGTGTCCGAAGTGCCGGGGCACGCATGATCAAGATTAAGGAATAAATAGCTCAAGTATATTGGTCGCACCCGCTTCCATCGGTCTATTTGCACACGGTTTTTATCTTGTCAATGTAGGTCTCGTGTGGGGTCCACGAGATCGATCCGACCCCGTGCATCGGGCTTATGTACCCCGAGCGTAGCCAATGGTTTTCCCTCGAAAACCCAACCCGGTAGTTCGCCCGAGAATTTATCGGGACTCCGTTTAAAGCATATAGTCCCAAGCATATGCATCACCAAAAAAAGGTAAAATTAGCTGTACTTTCGGCGATTCGAGATCAATTTGATCACGAAATCCACTACAAACTCGGTGGTTATGAATGAAAATCAACAGTGGCTTTTTTCCTCAACTTCTGACCGCGCAAACCCCGCCTCGTTTCTTCTACACTATGAAGACAACACTAAACTACGAAAACAGCAATCGATGTAAATGGACAGCCTAACTACTCGCGCCGTGCAGAATAATGGACCGACTGACTTTTTCACTTTTGCTATACACCTTTTTGCACAATTACATCTACCCCCGCCTAACGCTGACACTCGCGCCCCTTGCCTTTTGCAAAAGAAAGAAAAACAAAACCTTATTTACCTTCCGTTCACCGATGACCAAACTTTTGATCATTAGGGACGAATGATACACTCGGTCGATAAGAGCAAAGTTCGATGAGTAGCAAAAGTCATCGATGAAAAGAGCAGGAGATGACTTGATGAGCAGCTATATTTTCGAATGTTTAAACTCTTTTAGATAAATGTTGGCCACTTGAAGAGTATTGACAACTGGGAAAATTATCGACGGCATCCTTCATTATTTAGGATGAAGTCATCGACATCGACATTTGAGGTGCAATTGCCTATAATTTCGAATATTTGAGCTTCTTCTGGATAAGCATTGTTGTAACTTCTTCTAAACCGTATATTTCATTTACCAAGAGATGAGAAGTCATGGCGATGTGAAGATATGGAACCAAAAGCTCCGGAGATGTGAATGCATGGCTAAAACTTATGAACAAGTGCTTAAATGGCAGTTATGTTGTGAATACTATAAATACTAGTGTTTGTGTACTCTCGAACCCCGCAAAAGCAAACAAAAATCGTTATCTTTAAATTCAAGTATCGTAATTTTAATTGTAGTTTTTAGATATTTCGCCGTCGTTAAATTCCAACGTATATAGTCATTGTAGTTTTTGAATACTTCGTCCTCGATTAGAATACGACGTGTATCGTTGTTGTAGTTTCTGCGCGCTTCGTCGTCGATTAAATTCCATTGTCGTATCTCTATTTTGCATACTTTAACGTCGATTAAATTTCGTGGAAGTATATCTATAGGTTTTCTGGTGCATCCGTGATATTTTCTTTCCGAACCGCAACATAAACTTGCCTCCTCTTAACAAAACCGTGATATTGGAGTAATTTATTTGAAATTCTCATCTATTATGTTATATAATCTTACTCTAAACACACCAAACACATCATGGGATTGGATTTCACCGCATCCCACCGTTACGTTCGGTATATAACCGAACATAAGCAGGGGACATTCGATAGCTTCATTATGCGATGGATCTCATATTTTAATAATTAAATCCTATCTTAATCCAATCCGAATCGGAGCGGGTCCCCTCCTCCGGGCGCGGGGGTGGCGAAGCAACCGGGCCTTCGGATCCCGGTATCCGGGTCAAATGAGGAGTTGGAGCGATACTGATTTCCGAGTGTGCTCCAGCTCAGGAATTTAACTTTTTTTTGGAGTAAGGGGGGATGGATGGATGGATAGAGAGCCAAAAACGACGGTACGCAAAAGGACAAAAACACAATGCGAAGGAGGAGGGGGGGGGGGGTGGGACCCGTCCTTTTTTTTTGTCTTTTTGCCCCGTTGCGGGGTCCACGTACCACTGCGATGCCACGTCGTCACGTTTAGGGATGGCGAGCCGGGCCCGGCTCGGCCGACACGTGGCGTCCGGTTCGGGTCGGAGCATCTCCAAATCGCCGGCCCAATTTTTTTGCAAAATCGCAGAGGGCTGAAACGGGACAAGTTAAAAAGCGCGCATCGGTCAGAGTAAAAAAAAATATCTTTAAATTTCACACTCCCGAGGCACGAGGCTCGCAGCGTCCGAGCCGGCCCTTTTTCGGGACTCCGGACGACCCCCCTTCGTTTCCCTAGCGAGGGCAAAGTTGGAATTGCCGCTCGGTGCTTGTGCTGCTTTAATTCAATGGTGACTCTCTAAGGAGGGGGGAGGGGGGGCCCGGGGGCTTCGAGATCGATTCGCTAAGTGGTGCCCGGTTGAACTAAACCGAACCGAAGCGCCGCGCCGGAATTGGACCGTCCATGCCCTTGAATCGATTGGATCGGTCTGTCCGGTTCGATTTCCTAAGTATTGGTGTGGGCCGAGCTATCTACGGGAGCCTAGGAGATTGATAGGTTGATCGCGACCTGACCTCGACATGCTGTGACGGGAGAGCCCCGTTCACAGGTTCTGTGCAACGCTGTCACAATTTTGCGATTTTAATCTTTTGACGAGGCCTTGTGCCTCGACGCAATAATGATTCTAGGCCAGTGGATTTGGTACGCCCGTGCGTATTTCTTAACCGAAGACGGGAAGAGCTTCGAGCCTCGCATCGCCTCACCTCGAATTCCTCGGACTCGATAAGGGAGATCGGTTCGAGACCTAGGATCTGAAATCTACCCTATTATAATCGGGTCCTAATTTTCGGAACTTGAAACCTACTCTATTATAATCGGATTCTAATTTTTGAAACCTGGAGCCTATCCTGTTTACCTTGGAACCTGTTTTGGAACATACCTTGTATTTTCGATCCGGTTCTAAGGTATACTCGAGAATCTATTTTTCTTTTGTTCCTTTTTCGTGTTTCATTTTTTCTAGCAAAATAATATGAGCAACAATGAAATAATTCAAAGTAAAAGATAAATAATAAAAATCACTATCCGCAAAAAGTAATAATTCCTAAGACGAGCAATAGAAATTACTATCCACAAAAAGTAAAAATCCAAAATATAGTAATAGTATGATTTAAGGTTTTCTTATAATGCATGCTAAAAATCGATTTCTGGGTGGGTCTTCACTTGAAATTGGGAACTGGACAGGTTCAAACATGAACCGGTTCCTGGACTTGGTGTTTGAACCGGTCCTGGACTTGTTTTTAGGTGATTCGATTCAGTTTCCGGGTAAATTCGGTCCGATTGTACACACCCATAGCCTAAAGTTGAAAGCCTGCAAGAGGCGACCTCCATGGAGCGACACTTACTCCACATAGGTCAAAAGAAAGATGGCTCTTTACCGTGCAAGGACTTTTCTCTCTCTCTCTCTCTCTCTCTCTCTGCGTTACTAAAGTTCCGCGAATTTGACCGGCGCAAATGCTCCGAAACATCTCGACGATACCGTCTCGTTCGGGATTCGATAAGTTAATCAGATCAAAAACATCAGTTCTCCACAGTCTCCGTCAACCCACATGCCTCGACATCCCAATGACACGACCGGTACCGCCTCGTCCAGTCAACACAGTTCGAACTCGAAGTCGAACTCGATAAAGAAATCCAAACCCGTCGAGCCGAACCGTTTCTCGACGAGGAGAGAGAGAGGTTAACGTCGCTGAAAGCTCAATCGAAACTCGCCAAGGCCGAGCCTGCAAAGCCCAGAAAACTTTCACGGCCGCTAGAAACAGATCATCATCGTTTCGCTTGAGGCAAAAACGTGGTTGCTGGTGGCGGGACAGGAAAAACGAAAAGCGAGAGGAGAGGAAAAATGGGAAAGAAAGACAGGAGGAGGAATCGAGATTCCCGTACGAAGCGCGGACCCAGCAGCAAAAGGGTATGGGCAGTTTCGGGATTCCGGTGCGAAAGTGAACAGAGCAGATATTCCTTGTTCTCCCTCCCACTCTCTCTCTCTCTCTACCGGTGTGTACCAGTTTGCTTCGTTCAATAATTTTCTTCTTTGCTTTGCTTGGCCTTTTTCGGCACCAAGGAGGGAGGAGCGCACCCGATGCAGGGGCTCCGCACGTGCCGAGGCCCGACCGTGGTCCTACGCACGCTCGAGGCGGGACCCACCCTCCCCCTTTACTCTGTACCCCAACCGAGACAAGAGACCAAGAAAAGGCGAGGAGGTGAGAGAGAGAGAGAGAGGAGAGAGAGAGAGAGAGAGGAGTGGAGAGGACGTTCCTGTGGTGCTGTTCTCGCAGATCCGTCAGATCCCTCCTCCCCACCTAAAGCAAAAGCACCCTCTCGCTCCAAAGCTCTTCGCTTTCTCCTCTCTAACATTCCGTTCTTATCTCCCAAAAGGAGAAACAGGGGAGAGAAGACACCAAAAAAAAAATAAAATAAAATAAAAAGGAAAGAAGGAGGAGAAGAGGAAGAAAGAAGAAAGAAGACGGAAGCTGCTTCCATTGCAGCGGTTTTTCCGTCGTGTATAGCTCACAGTCCGAGAGCCTGCGACTCTTCGTCTGTGGCTTCTAGGTACTTGGTTTCCTCTTCCTCTGTTTTTCTTTTTTGCGAGATTCATCTACCTTTTTGCCCTTTTCATGGGCTTGAGCTGAATATTGGTTCTGTTCTCTTTTGCTTTTTTTTTTTGTCATTGCGTAATAGTGGACGTACTTTTTTAGTTCGGCAAATTCTGGAATGTGCCTGCATATTCTTGAAATGCTTAAAAAAATACGTGTGCAGAGAGACCTGAAACAAAGTTTTGTTTTTTCCTGCTTGGTTTCCGAGAAAATGTTGGTGGGGTTTCTTCCACTCTTCATTATTTTGTGACCCGGAGATTGTGTGGTATCTTCAGCTTCTGAGAGAGAGAGAGAGAGAGAGGGAGACCCTTTTGACTACCCCGCAGACAGTCATTCAAAGCACATTTAAAGCGCTTGATTTTTACTTTCTCGTGAAGTCTGTGACAGTGGGGGTTTCATCGGTTTCAGGATCGTTTTTCCCCACACCTTTCTTTTGGGTTATCTTCGGTCGTCCGACGTCGGTGAATGAAGCGCTGTGGGAGCTGGAAATCGAAGGTTACATGTTCTGTTCAGCTGCATTTGCTTGTGTTCGGAAAGGGTTCAGTCTTTCAGATCTGAAGGTAAGTGGAGCGATTCTTTGCAACCTTTGAAATTGTTGTCAGTAATTTTTGAATTTCTGCATTTAATGGAGACGTTTCAGCTGCTTGGTCTGGTGTCTTCTTCATCCTGTTTTATGTCTTTTTTTATTGAGTTCTTAGAATATGGACCGATCTCTCTCTCTCTGTGAGACCGATGATATCATGATTTTGCTCTGATTTTGAGTTCACCGACAATTTAGGTAACATATTGTTTTGCTTACTGTTAACGGCTAACAAATCTGCAGCCATATTTTCAGGTTTTTGGGAGCTTTTCGAATTCGAACTCGGTCATTGCTCACTGACTGCCATCTGGCTAACCTATAAGTTCTCGCTATCCTGCTGACCGTGTTTTGCCCCCATTTGAGCCAAAATGATGCATAGGCCTCCTCCTGAAGATTTCTCTCTGAAGGAGACCAAACCCCATCTCGGCAGTGGGAAGGTCTCCGGCGACAAGCTCACGAGCACCTATGACCTCGTCGAGCAAATGCAGTACCTCTATGTCCGCGTCGTTAAGGCCAAGGAGTTGCCTGCAAAAGACGTCACCGGGAGTTGCGATCCTTATGTTGAAGTCAAGCTCGGGAACTACAAGGGCACGACCCGGCACTTTGAGAAGAAATCGAATCCCGAGTGGAATCAGGTTTTCGCTTTCTCAAAGGATCGGCTTCAGGCCTCGGTGCTGGAGATCACTGTCAAGGATAAGGATTTCGTGAAAGACGATTTCATGGGTCGAGTGCTGTTTGACTTGAACGAGGTCCCGAAGCGGGTTCCGCCGGATAGTCCTCTAGCGCCGCAGTGGTACAGGTTGGAGGACAGAAGGGGGGATAAGGTGAAGGGAGAGATCATGTTGGCTGTTTGGATGGGCACTCAAGCTGATGAAGCGTTCCCAGAAGCGTGGCATTCTGATGCAGCTACGGTTAGTGGAACCGATGCTCTTGCAAATATCCGTTCAAAGGTATATCTTTCCCCTAAGCTCTGGTATTTGAGGGTTAATGTTATCGAAGCTCAGGATCTCCAGCCTGGCGACAAGGGTCGATACCCGGAGGTTTATGTCAAGGCTATCCTTGGAAATCAGGCTTTGAGAACTAAAATTTCTCTGAGCAGGAGTATAAACCCGATGTGGAATGAGGATTTGATGTTTGTCGCGGCCGAACCGTTTGAGGAACCCCTGATTTTGAGTGTGGAAGATCGAGTTGCTCCCAACAAGGATGAGGTGTTGGGACGCTGTGCAATCCCACTGCAGTATGTGGACCGGAGATTGGATCACAAACCTGTGAACACAAGGTGGCACAATCTTGAGAAGCATGTCATTGTAGAGGGAGAGAAAAAGAAAGACACTAAGTTTGCAAGCAGGATTCACATGAGGATATGCTTGGAGGGTGGTTATCACGTTTTGGATGAGTCGACGCACTACAGTAGCGATCTTCGACCCACTGCGAAACAACTGTGGAAGTCGAGCATTGGAATATTGGAGCTAGGAATTCTGAGCGCTCAGGGGCTGTTGCCAATGAAGACCAAAGATGGACGGGGAACGACTGATGCTTATTGTGTGGCAAAATATGGGCAGAAGTGGGTCAGGACAAGAACCATCATAGACAGCTTTATGCCTAAGTGGAATGAGCAATACACTTGGGAGGTTGCTGATCCCTGCACCGTCGTCACAATTGGCGTATTCGATAACTGCCATTTGCATGGAGGGGATAAGAATGGGCCTGCAAAGGATTCGAGGATCGGCAAGGTGAGGATTCGTCTCTCTACCCTTGAAACTGATAAAATATATACCCATTCGTATCCACTCCTCGTTCTGCACCCAAATGGAGTGAAGAAGATGGGCGAAATCCATCTAGCCGTGAGATTCACTTGCTCTTCTTTGCTCAACATGATGCACATGTACTCACAGCCCCTGTTGCCCAAAATGCACTATATTTATCCATTAACCGTGAGTCAGCTAGATAGCTTGAGGCACCAGGCCACTCAGATCGTGTCAATGAGGCTGAGCCGGGCGGAGCCGCCACTGAGGAAGGAGGTCGTGGAATACATGCTTGATGTGGGTTCGCACATGTGGAGCATGAGGCGAAGCAAGGCCAACTTTTTCAGAATCATGGGGGTCTTGAGCGGTCTAATTGCTGTGGGAAAATGGTTTGATCAGATATGCAATTGGAAAAACCCGATAACAACCGTGCTGATCCACATCCTGTTCATCATACTAGTTATATACCCCGAGCTCATCCTGCCCACGATTTTCCTCTACCTCTTCATGATTGGAGTGTGGTACTACAGATGGAGGCCCAGACATCCACCTCACATGGACACCCGCCTCTCGCATGCGGATTCTGCGCATCCCGATGAGCTTGACGAAGAATTCGACACTTTCCCCACTTCCCGACCTTCTGATATCGTGAGGATGAGATATGATCGGCTGAGGAGCATTGCTGGGAGGATCCAGACAGTCGTTGGGGACTTGGCTACTCAGGGAGAGAGGCTCCAATCCTTGCTCAGCTGGCGCGATCCAAGGGCAACTGCTCTGTTTGTCATATTCTGTTTGATCGCTGCCATCGTTCTGTATGTCACTCCTTTCCAAGTCGTGGCTCTCCTCACGGGATTCTACGTGTTGAGGCACCCGAGGTTCCGGCACAAGCTTCCTTCTGTGCCACTCAACTTCTTCAGGAGGCTACCGGCGAGAACTGACTGTATGTTGTGAGAACACCGTCTGTGTGTGTCGACCTTCTCGTGATGCGGCAGGAGTTTCCGGCACGGGTTAAGCTTTCTTGCTTTCCTTCTTTGGCGGCCGAATGTGGTAATGTTATAAATGGGTGACCTTCTCCCGAAGGTGGTTAGATTTTGCGAATTTTCCTTTCTAAATTTATGTTCTTTTCACGGAAAGAACCGACTGTCCCGTTGATAGATTTCATGTTCTCTGTGTGTAATTTTGTAGGTTTTCCTACGTTGTTAAATCTCTTAGATCTGTTTGGTTCAAATCTCTTCCATTTGGGTACAGGAGGCCCAACTGACCCAATCCCAAACGCATGTTAAAAGATAAGGTGGCCTGACATGAACTGAATCCCATGGACCTGAAACCTCAAATTCTCCAAACGTATCTGTCCCTCGCTCTTTACTTCTTAGTTAGTAATTTCTTGAAGTTTCTGTGCATGAGGAGGGTAGTATACCATGGCATATGCTATGATTGCTATCTTAGAATGCTTGGGTTGCATTTTGAATCGCAATTTCTGAAGTCTCGAATTCGGTTCAGCTGGGTCGGATCAGATTTTTACCATTCTCTACTGGTGAGTGATGATGTCGCCGCGCGACTACGCCGACCTTTCTCTTGCAGTTAGGAGGAAAGCGACAATGCTGGAGTTCATCTCTATAATATATCATTGTCAGGGTGATCCATGGAGGCTTTTTGAGAATTAACGAGTAGATAGTGTAGTTTTCATGGCGTGTAGTGCATGGTCTTAAGTGATTTTTGCGAAAGCGATTTATTTGGTTTGACTAACAGTGACTTCATGAAGGATCATGTGTAGGGTCTTGCTAATTTATCTTGTATTGAGGTCCCGAGGACAATGACAACTGCAAAATGCATGGAGAGAAGCGTCGCAAGTCGATATTTAAATGAGTGGGTCCTATTTGATGTTTGTTGCTTAGTCGTATATTTGGTCGCACAAATTAATCTTAGTACAGTTTCAGAATTTTAAGATTATTTAGAGAGAAAGGTTTGTGATGAAATGGGACATGGATGGTGTGGAATTGCTGTCGTTGTCGTCCGTCCCATGTGAGCTCAATGGGGACACGACTCGAAGTAGTTTTTCATTTTTATTGAGAATGAGGTCTTTTGCTTGAAGGTGAAGGGTCGTTTCCCTTTCACATGAATGTTTGTTTTTTTTTTTATGGTTTGATGTCGTCTTTGGAAACCCGTGCCTTAATGAAAAGAATAAGAACGGCGAGATAAGCGGAGGGAGTTGGGGAATTGGACAACGGTATGCGACTCATCTTATTTATGTGGGGGCATGGATAATGATACTCCTTCTAGTATTCACCTGTCTTTATTAAAGAAGAAAGCATCGATTTGGATAATCTTGGGAGGTGAACTTACATATTAAATTCGTCATCTGCATAGCACGCAGTCTGCACATCTTCGACGGTCGAGATTCGTTCTCGCGTTTCTTAAATCCGTGCCGAATGACCTGTCTTGTCGTGACCATAGGTTCGGATAGGGTCTTTGTGTTACGAGTTCCTTTGGGCTTAGAAAACGGAATCATGAATCTCCACGTGCCGCTCGGGTCACGGAAAATCGAGCCCTGATCTTCCGCTACGTTAGGTCGACCGTGCCGATGGGTCCTCTCCAGCAACCCGCAATCCATCGGCAGAGCCAATGCTTGCTGGCGGGACAATAATTTCTCGCAATTATCAGCAGCAGAACGTGAATTTGACAGGCAGAAGTGGTACTCCAAACGTGCCACACCCATTGTTACCATTTGGGCCGTGAGTGAATAGGAAAACAACTCTCTCAGAAGCAAAAAGAGCCGGAGACAGAGAGACAGAGCGAGAGAGAGAGAGAGAGAGAGGGAAACGGACAAAAGCGGAACAGCCATCTGTGGCGGAAGCTGTCTGGTAATTTCAGCTGCCGCGGCTGTCGTTCTTGGCCCGCTGATGAAACGTACCAAGTGGTTCAGTTCTCAATAATTCTCCTAGGATCCCATTTATCTTTCTTTGCGTTTGTGTGGGGTTTTCCATCAGATAGGTGGGGGGACCTTCCCGCTTTACAGCTACTACTCTCGACTTTTTCTATGCCCTCTCTTATTTTGTCGTTTCGCCCTTTGGGGAGAGAGAGAACTTTGTATTCGTATCACCAATCTCATGAGTCTATCACGCTTTCTATCGTCTCCATTAGAGAAAAACATTTTAGGGGTTTCGAACTCTATGCGACCCGACTCGACTCGACTCGATTACTAACTTTAACATGTCGAGTAAAGGGAGCCAAAGCTCCTGCAAGGGGCTCTGCGACTTATCTTCATCTTGTGGGGGTGTGCGTTTCTTATTTTAATACGCGTTAGTACTGGCACGTCTTGTATCTCCAATTTCCTCAAAAATTTTTAATTCCCTAAAAAGTGAAAATACCTTCTAATTGTTTTACATCTTGGTGATCCCAGGGTCCAGATGATGACCTCACTTCTTTCATCTTCTATTAGAGAAAACGTTCTAGAGGTTGCGACCCAATCCGGTTTTGACATGTCGCCCGAAGCCGTTGTTTGATTATACTCTGTCCATACAACGAGTCTAATCGCTATTACTAGATACATCTTTCGCTTGGGGCGGTTGCCATTTATTTAACTTCGTATTTTATAAATCTCTTTCACTCTATAGCACTGATTTCACACCTCGAACCTTTTGAAACCTTAAAATCAGCTGATCTTGAACGAAATCTAATATCAGAATCACCTCAGCAAAACATCAAAAGCACTCTCTTTTGGTGAGCCCACACGCCATTGGGCATCGACCCCTTTTAAGGATCGTTGCGTCGTCTTCTACACTTTCTTTCAATCCTCCTTTTCGTGCGCTTTTCTCTTTAAATAATGTCGAGGAAATTGGCACCTTTTGTTTTTCTATGTACATTTAATTAACCACGGCGACAATATAATATAATGTATATTAAAGGGTAGGGTTTTGTCTACCTTTTTTGGATCGGGATTTAGGTCAGCCTTTTGGACTAGACGAATCGTACACGAGGAAACTGCCTCGGACTTGGTTCGACAGTTCGCGTCTTTAACTAGAGATGGTGCTTTAACTTTTTTTACTTTCTGCTCCTGAACCAAAGAGAAACAAAAGCGTTCACTTCAGTGTACGTCGAAACGGCCCACTAGGTATGATCACATCCACTAACGCATTAACTTCCGCATATCGCACAAGGAAAAGTTATTTTTCTTGGAGAAAGGGCAAATTACTTATCGGCCCACCGATGTACTAATTTTTGCAATTCGCCCCTTGGATTTTAGAAATCGGTCGCGTGTCCCATGGGCTGTGACTCCGATCAAATTTCACTCGGAGTTCCGACCAAGTCACGACGTTTGAGTTACGTAGGGAAAACATATAAAAAGTAAAAGAATAACCCATAAATATGATACGTGTGAGAGCATGTGACTATAGTAGTTCTGGCGACAATTTGACCGGAGTTGAGACTAGATGAGCATAGATAAGGAATTTTGAAATACATTTTTGAGTAATCCCTATATTTTTTTCTCGCATGTATTAAAAATATAGGGAAATGACACAAATGTTCCCTGAAATTTGACCCAATGTGCAATGTTATTCTTGAATTTTTAATTTGTTCAATGTGATTTCTAAACTTTTGATACATGTTCAATCTAGTCATGAACTATATGAAATTCTTTAATGATGTCCCTCCATTTATTCAATTTTAGTGACAACATTGAACATTTTCATACAATCTAGGGATTAGATTGAACATGTATCAAAAGTTCAGAGATCATTATTAAATAAATTAAAAGTCAAAGAACGACATTGCGTATTTGATCAAAGTTCAAGGATCATTCATGTAATTATCCCAAAATATACATGACCAATTTGCCGTCCATGACTAATCGCGTGCCATCACATAATCATATATGTTGCAAAAATTTGGTTGGACTCGATGCTAGGTGGCACATTGCCACCAGTTTTAAAAAGTCAAGGGGCAAGTTGTAAAAAATTGAAATGTCGAGGGGTAATTTGCAACAATCCCGAAAACCCGGAGGGTTGAATTGTAATTCTCCCCTCGAAGAAATATGGGATGTAATTAGAAGAAAAATGTGGGCTTATTGTTGGGCTCTAGAGTCAAGAAGCACAAGTCATAATGGGCCAACCCCATCAACCCTATTGCCCATGCACAACCAAATGCTAATTGGACAAGCCTGTAATTTTCATACATGCTATCAAAAGATAGTACTAAATATCTAAATTAGAAAAGATTAAATAAATTTCTACAAAAAAGTTGGCACGTTAACATCATAATAGATATTTTCAATGATTATGAGCGACATTCAGGGTATCGCGTTTGAAAACTTTCGAAAATAAGGTACATTGATATATTGTTAGTTGGATTGACCACGGCAAGAGATTCTTTGACATATGTATTGATTTATAACAAGACGATGCATATATTTTTCATGTTTAGTTAAATCAAATCAATTATAAGATGTTACACAACTACTTATTTGATAAGACCCGAGAGTTGAAAGCGTCAAACGATAATAATTTTGAACTTTAGCAGATTGTCATTTCCAACTCTCAGTAATTCAGGGGAGACAACATTCAGGGACATTCTACCTTTGAAGAATTCTTGTTAGATGGTCAATGCTGGATTAAACTTTTAATTTTGGTTTTGAAATTGACCAAAACAAAAAAAATAGAACAATAGCAAGATTTTAATTTCTACTATTTTAGACCTTCTCTCTTGGCGTGCATTGGGTCTCTATATGCACTTCATCTCCATCCTTCAAGCATGTGAGCTAAGTCTCACTGATTCCCTTGGATTTATTCCTAGTTTATCGCTTATAAGAAGAAGAGGACATTTTGAAAACAACAATAGTCTGACAAGGAGAGGGAGCTACCGTAACGACCTGATCCAACGAAAGCAGGGTGTAATCACCAGGGCTAGAGGGCCTAGATAAGGAGTGGCTCATCGCAGGTTTCTAGGATGACAAATGGGGCAGGAATGAACCGAACTATGTACTGAACATGGAAATAACGATTCTAAGAGATATATATGAAATTTTGAATTAACTCATGGAGACACTTTTTGACATATTGTCAATACTTAACTCTAAAGTTAAGCGTGCTAAAGTGGGAGCATTCTTAGGATAGGTGACCTCCTAGAAATATGTCCACTAGTACGCCAAATGACAAATTGTGAGGCTTAGTATGAGACATGCCAAAGTGAACAAAACTGAATTAATATAAGGATGTCATGGCTACAATATTG